GATCTCTCCTACATGTGAAATTTTTTTTAAATTTAAATACGTAGAAATATAGAGTGGTTACCAGAGGGAGTAGGGTGAGAGAAATGGGGAGATATGTAGAATGAATAAGTGTAGAGGTCTAAAAAAGTAAAGTATGAAAACTGTAGTTAATAATATCATATTACATATGGGAAATTTTCTTTAAAAGTAGATTTTAGGTCCTCTTACCAAGAAAAAAAAATTTAAACATAACTATCTGAGGTAATGGATATATTAAATTGCTTACCTGAAGTAATAATTTCATTATGCATGGTATCAAAATATCATGTTGTACACCTTAAATTTATATAATAAAAACCAGAACTATTACATTTAAAATAAGAGTAAAATAAAAGGACCTTTTTTATTGAGGAAATGTTCCTTTGATAAACATCTCAAAATTAAGTTGAAAAAGCTGCTTGAGATTTGCTATTAAATTATATACTATACTATGCTAGTTACAAATGTTAAGCTCTGATCTATTCATTTGTGTTTCTATTTCAGCACTAACTGCAATTATTAGGACAACAGGTATTCAGTAAAAATTAAATAAACATGAATAATGTCTATGATAGTAATAAATTTTCTGCTCTTCAACTTCCTTGTAGTCCCTGATTTCTCCCTTTCTTCTTATGTGTAGGTCAGAGACATGAACGCCTTTAACTTATGTAAAAATAAACTCTCTATGGGATAAATAAAACCCACTGATGAGATTCCATCCCCAACTGTAGTGAAAATCAGGAATGCGTGGCTGCCCAAAAAACTCTTAAACACATACTGAACATTTTGCTAGTTTCCAAAGTATGAACCCACTTTTTTAAAGGAACTACATACATTTCCCTGTCCCCTGCCCCCTGAGTGCAGAAATGTGACTTGGCTACTGCCAAGTAAGAACAAGTATTTGAGTTGGACATTAGTTATCTGAGGCTGGATTCTGACTGTGTCAACAGAGTCAGAGTGATTCTGAGGTCAGTAGTGCCTCTGGAGTTTTGCCTGTGGCAGCACGGTCATGGTTTTAGCACAAGCAGCATCTCCTTTAGCATGCCTGTCCTAACATATGTGCTTTTGCAAGTTATTCCTGGTAGTTCACCTCAGATTCTGTGATCCTCACCTTCCAAATATTATATAAACTACTTAGTTGCATAGAATAAATATCTTCTATTTAAATTAGCTACAGACGATTCTGTGTCATCCAATAAGAGCCATGGATGATACAGTAAACTGACCTGAAATTGTCCATTTCAGTTAATCACCTAAAATGGAAAGCCATCAATTTCAGAAGCATCTCAGTTAACAAGGGCCCCTTTTCAATGTATTTACTCCTAAGAGTGATAAGTGGAGATGGTAGATGATAGCTATTTATTCATATTAAGCTTTTACTATGTGCACAGTCTATTCTAGGTGCTGGAAATGCCAAAGTGGACCAAATAGCCAATGCCTTTATTTTCATGAAATTTACACTCTAGTTGGGAGATAATAAACAAATATATCAGATATTCAGATGGTGAAAATGCTGTAGAGGAAATGTTACAGAGTGATGGGATAGACAGTGACTCAAAGACATGGAGAATGGCCTTACATGGGTGGTTGCAGAAGACCACTAAGGGGGTGGAAATTGAGCTGCAGACTGAGTGATGACAGCAATCCAGCCATGCGAGGATCTAGAAGAGGAGCATTTGGGGGATAAAGAGTGAGCACAAAGGCCTAAGGGTAAGAGTGAGACCACTGAGGCTGGAGCACAGGGAACATGCGAGAGTGGCACTGCAGCGGGTCAAAGAGAGGTAAAAGGACATGGAAATGTCAGCTACAGTTTAATGTAAACTTGGTTAAACAGATAGTTTTCCTTCTATCAATGGGCATAGTTCAGCTTCTTTATGTGAATGCTTTTACGTGGGAACAAAGTGGTAGATACTAAAATAGAAGAAGCCCATGCAGAAGCAAAGGAGAGATCAATGTTGTCGGCTACACCAATGGGTCCACCAAAAGAATTTTGTGAATGAGGAAATTGAGGCATTCGTATAACTTCGTATAATAGAAACTGCCAGGAGGCACACACAAAGTGGTCTGGGCAAGGTGCTTACTTGAATACATGGTTTATGTCATTTCAACTTGATTTTAATTAGAGCTGAATTAATTACAATTAAGGTGCGGTTAGTTGGTGATGTTAGAGTCAGGAAAGAGAGTTGTTAATGATATTGACCCAGGCCAGACAAAATTCCACTTTTTTATACATTTACTTACTTATTGCCTATCTCCCTTGACTAGAATGTGTTTCTGTATTCAGACATGTCATTATTATGATATATACCATAATGTTTAAGAGTGCAAGTTCTGAAGCAAAACTACATGAATTCAAACCCCACCTCATGTTTTTACCACTTCTGTGACCTAGCGTAACATATTTAAATTTTCCAGGCTTCAGTTTATTGCTTTGGATCTCAAGAAAAACATTCCCTATTTCGCAAGCCTCTTGTGGGGATTAAAGAAGTCAATGACTTTGTAGCACAAGCCACATTGTAATAGTTAATAGAAGCTTTTACCAGAACTATTAATTATTGTACTACAGCTTTCTTATTTGTCATAAAAAGTCCATTAAATTTTGAAGTTTTCCTTAACCTGATTTTGATTCTGGAGATGTTCAGACTTTTAAGGTAAACTGTTTCAGAGTTTATCTCTTAATTTGGGGGGATTTACTCTTAGAATTCAGAAAGTTCCTCATGGCCTGCTAATATAGTATTTACATACAGCTGAATAATAAGCATAAATCATAAAGGTTTTTTTTTTTTTTAATGGACAAACAGAAATGGGACACTGATGATGAAACAAAGACCATGACATTTTTTAAGCATTCATTGAGTGACAAGCACTATCCTGGACACTTTGCATATAGTGTCTCATCCATGGCTTAAAATAACTCTATGAAAAATGTATTACCATTTCATTGTACATGTGAATGAAGATTAAAATAAGATCATGAGAGATTGTGAAATATATACAATGTTACATAAACTAATGATATAGTTTAATCCTAGCTCTATTGACACCATATCTCAAATCTTTCCATATCATCCACGACTCTACCGCTAAAAAGACTTCCAGAGGCTGAATAATGACCCTAACAGTCAACAATGTTTTTGCCTGAAGTTAAAGGGAAAAGTTACGTGACATAATATTGGTCATACAAGAAGGTGCCTTTTTCATCTAAGGAGACAAGAACAGGGTAAGATCCACAGAGGTCCTGATCTAGATATAATAAGCACACTGTTAGAACTAGAAGAGACATAAGGCAAAATAGGACACCACTGAATGTTGAGTCACCACAAGTCAATACTTTTTGCCTTTGAAAAACACTTATAATGTTTACTGTGTGTCTGACAGTGTTGTAAGGACTTAACAAATATTAATTCATTTAAGCGGTCCAACAAATTTATGAGAGAGGTACTACCATTACTATTTTTACAGATGAAGAAATGTGGAATAGACAGGTTAAATGACTTCTCAGGTCACATTCAAATGCAGGAAGTCTGACCTCAGTCTGCTCTTACCTCTGGACCATACCACCTCCTCTAAACAAATGTCTCCTTTAAGTATGTTCATATTCTGGTTGCCTGCTGTGTTGACCTCAGATTCAGAGTAAAATCACCCTTTGATCCTTCAGGGCTTGTCATGAAAAAATCAAAGACACAAATGAATTATCCACAAGAACAAAGAGACATGGGTCCGAAGGAGGTCAGAAAACCAGGAGAGATCAGTACAGTAATGAGCAAGGATGTTGGGAAGCATTCCTGCCATCCCAAATCCTACAGTGTTACTCAGCTCAGAATATGATTTGTCACAGCAGGAACAGGGAAATTATGTATAATTCCTTCGAAAGCTCAAAAAATTGATTAATAAGTGTTTCTATTATACTTACAAAGACTCCAGTAATAAAGAATATTTATGAGCTAAAAGCTATTGAGCACTCAGTGGTAATAAGATCTTTACGAGAATTATGTATTACGTATTTGATCCTGAAAACATCTCAATCATTACCCTTTAATTGAAACTTTAAAAAGTAATGGTTTGACCAAGCTCACACTATCTGTGGCAAAACTAAGTTTGGAACTCGGGACTATCTTAATCTGAAACTATGCCATTAACCATGATAGTACACTAAACCCTATCACCCATTCCACTAAAATGTGCATTCAAAAATGGTATGTAAAATCACCTTCACACAGAAAAACCCTGAAAACAAGGCCCTCAGCATGAATGACTGGTAAAAATTACCATAACAATCAATTTTAGTCCAAATAATGCAGCAGTAATACATGCTAGACCTTTCCTTTGGAGGCAGGGAGAAAAAGAGACAATCAGACCAGATGTGACAAAAGATTAGAAAGCAGAGAAAGAAAACATGGAGAAACAATACACATAACATTTCTATTTTCCCAGAATATTATACTTTTGTTGTGAACTGCAAAGGTATTGGCTTGCATTGCATAATTTATGAAGAATTGAGAGTTCATTATTGTTATAGTTTCTACTATGAAAGATACTTCCCAGGAAATGTCTTAATAAGGTGATCCATTAATGGGCGAAGGATGCAAGCATAATCCATACCACTATTGCTCACAGTTTCTGCATAGATCACCTACTTACAAACATATGGATAATTTTATAAAAATGCAAATACGCCAATCCAACAACAGTCCTGCTGAATTAGATTTCGAGAGCTGTGTCCCAGGAATCTGCTTTTTAACAAGAACCTTAACTGATTCTGATGTTGCACCAACATTTGACAATCAAATGAACAGTAAACAATTCTAAGTGGGAATTTTTATGATAAACAATTTAGTGCCTAAGCCTTTCGTCAAATGGTTTATATACCAACAACAACGTACTTTGACATACACTGTTCACTTAGTCCAGAATCTTAGACATTATGTTTCTTTTTTTTCACCATTAAGTAATTTTGTTTCGTGATTATTTCTTTGTTGAAATCACCTATTGACCCAGAACTTCTTTATAGCATGTTTTACTTCTGCATTTCTATGGCTGTAGATTAAAGGGTTTGACATAGAAGTAATCATGGTATAAAAAACAGCCACGGCTTTATCAATGGAAAAGGTGGCCACTGGATGCAGATACACAAATATGCAGGGCACAAAGAATAAGACAACCACCGTGATGTGAGATACGCAGGTGGAGAGGGCTTTGCGCCTTCCCTCCAAGCTGTAGGATTTCAACGAGTATAGGATGACCATATAAGAGACCATCAGGAGGAAGAAGTTTAAAAGGCAGATGAACCCACTATTGGCAGCAACAAAGAGACCAAGGGTATGAGTGTCCACGCAGACAAGTTTCAACAGAGGGTTAAGGACACACATGAGGTGGTCTACAATATTGGGGCCACAGAAGGGCAGCCAGACTGTGAAGAGGATCTGAATGGTTGAATGGACAAAGCCTCCAGCCCAGGCCACTCCCACAAGGAGCCTACACATCTTTCGGTTCATGATGGTCATGTAGTGCAGGGGCTTAGAAATGGCCACATAGAGGTCATAGGCCATCACTGTCAGAAGGATGATCTCAGCTGCACCAAAAAGATGCTCAGCAAAGATTTGAGTCATGCATCCCCTAAAAGAGATGATTTTTCTCACAGCAAGAGTGTCAGCTAGCATCTTAGGAGTCATGGATGTAGAACAGCAGCCATCGATAAAGGATAAGTTAGACAGAAAGAAGTACATGGGTGTTTCTAGGGCCTAGCCAGTGCTGATGGTAATCACGATGAGCAGGTTGCCTGCCAGGGTGACCAGGTAGACAATTAAACACAAAACAAATGAGAATTTCTGAAGCTCCACATTTTGTATCAAGCCCAAGAGGATGAACTCAGTCACATTATTCATCCTCACCATCAATTCCATTCAGGTGACAGGTTGACTACCCTGGAAAAAAGTCATACTCATCCTCAATAAGACTTTCACTTAATGAAAAAATATATCCATGGCTGCATCTTTTTAGTTGCACAAGAAGCAAAAACAAGCACAAAACCATGTCACCTGTCTTATTTTTTATATTCTACAGATGACATTGTATGTGAAGAGTATTCATTTCATCCTTTATAATTTCCTGATTTGTCTTTAATTTTCTACAGTAAAAAAATGTGTAACTTTTAAAATCAGAAAAGAAAAATGTCATACATCAAGTTTTAAGAGGCAATATGTGTCCGTTCACGGATGCACAAAGATGCATGTACCTTACCCAAAAGTGGTGGACATACTTACCAAAGAAAAAACCAAATTGTTCCATTAAATCATACAAAAAGACTCGAGGACATAGAAAGAGTCTTTCATAAGCCATCCCTTTTCCTATTTTGCCTGTCTGGAAGCTTCTCAACTTTCTCAGCATTAAAAACAATGCTGTACCTCCTTCCAATCTCAGAGGTTGTGGTAAATGTCCATTACAGCCCTTGCCACATGCTCTCACAGTCGTCTCTCTGGGTTCAACATCATGGTCCATCACGGCAAAAATCTTGCCCTACCACAATTGTAGTCTCATTTATTTTTGTATCCCCAGTGCTGGCCAAAATGCAAACACTCATAAAGCATTTACTGAGAGGGAGAACCAAAAAGGGGCAAAATGGAAAGAAAGTGGGAAAGAAAAAAGGAGAAAGGGAAGTTAGAAATGCATTAAAGAGTAAAGAAAGAGAACTAGGCCCAAAACCCAAAGACATAATTTGGAGTCCTAAATCTAAAAATTATTAACATTATAATTTTAATTAATTTTATATATCTGTGCTTCGATTTTTCACCTGTTAAAGTACGGATAAATATACATATATTTAGAACTGTTGTGAAGATTAAAATCATTTTAAACTTACTATTGTTGTTGTTGTAATATGAGTTTACAGTTCTCATGGAAGTATCACTAAAGAAAACTTTAAGAATTGTCTTTGAACATCTTGAGAAGGAAAAGATTCTGCAACTTAAGCTAACCAAATGAGAACAAACATAAGAACCAGGGGGAAAAGAAGAAATGTCAAAAAAACAAAAAAGATAATCAGACTTTTTAGAAATAGAAAATGCAGCAAGCTATTATAAGAATATCTAACACAAATTTATAATTGTTTAGTTGGCTTACTTGTTTTGTGTGATTTATTGTCCATTCCTTCATTAATTCATGTGCTTAAGCCATATTACAATACATAGAAAATTTACTCATTCAAAAATAGACTCACTATTGAGGTTATAATCTACTGGTTTGGCACAACTTGGCTTCTCCAGACTTGACAATACTTCATTAAACTCAATCAGAGTTCTCTTCAAACCAATGTGTGTGCAACCAGAGTAATAGTCATGTTAGTTTACTGTAAATTTATTGTAAAAAAAAAAATTCAAAGTGTTTCCAAAAGCAAAAAGCCTAAAGTAAAATAAAAAAGAAAATTGTACTTCTTGTACATATCACTTCAATGTATGTCTAGGACTTCTCACCCTGGCCTGAATTAGTTCAGATAATTGTCACAGATAGTAGACACATTCACTTTGTGTTTAAATGGTATTTGAAGTGGAAGAGAGTGGGATGATTTCAGCAGCACTAGCCTATTTACAATTCTATGGGACTCACAGAAATCTTCAAGGTTTCATATGTTTTGCATTGAACTTGGTCTGACAGCCTTGATACAGACTAAGAACTAAGTAACCATTTTTAAAGCAAGAAAACAAATACAATTACCAAGATATCAGCAGCTAATTGAAGGTTCCCTGGATGAGAAATCTCCTGAAGCCAATTCTTCCAAGCATTTTTCAGAGCATCAATGCTCACCGCAGAGCCACATGTTTTGGTCCTTGAGACTCAGCCTTTCTTCTCCCAAAATTCCAGTAGAACCCATGTCAAGACCCACAGCATGTCAGGGAGAGTCACTGCCTTTTTGATTAGCTCTGCCTAAATATCCTCACAGCCCCTCATTGTCAACTCCTTCAACTCCCACTGTATAGAGACACAAGTGTTATTAAAGTGGGTGACTCTCCTCTGCACTGTTTCCTCAAGGGAAGAGAAATTAATTTCAGTAACCTTTGCCAAAATGGCAACCAAATGCTTATCCCTTCTTTTTGCTCTCCTTCTGACCAGTGAATGACATTTTTGACAAGGTTTACAATTTATCTACAGGAATGGGATAATCATCAGGCTATGGTCAGAACCAAAATGCTTTAATTCTTTTTTCTTTTTAAGCAAATGTTTATTCAACATTTAAAATGTACTAAGCACAGTGTTGTTCCATAATGACAATGACAGTAACTAACCATTGAGTGTTACACTGCAAGCCCTATATTACATACATTATATGTGGTACCCTTTGTGATGGCTATTACTATTCCCATTTTGTGAATGAGGAAATTGAGGCATTATGAGTTTAAGTAAATACATGAATAAAAGTGAGTAGGTGACAGAACTCATATTTAAATCTAAGTCTGCCTCCACAGCCCAGATAGTGTCTCTGCCCTCATAATGCAAGAATATAACTATTTTTTTAAAAAACCGTGGTGAGCACTATAAGAAAGGACACGGTGCTATATATCTGTGTAATGGGGATATGGCTTAGACTGGGGTGGAGGTGGAGTGTTCAAGGGAGATTTTCTTAAGGAAGTGGTATGATGTTGAATTTGAAGCCAAAAACTATTATCCAAAGCCTAAATTAGATAAGAAAGTGAGGGTTTGGGATGGTTAACAAATTTGAGAATTAGCTGGACTGTATCATCTTGTGAACAGTAAACAAAGAACATGCGTGAGCCCACCACTTTTGCAAATAAATGCAGTTTAATTCCTCTTTTTCAAATTCTATGCAAAAGAGCTGGCTGGATAGCTCAGTTTGAGCACAGCCTTATAAGCACGAAGGTCATGGGTTCAGATCCCCATACCAGCCAGCTGCCAAAAAAGAAAAATATTCTATGCATTTTTTTTCTTGATTACACTGACTGGGACCTCAGGACAATTTTAAATAGAAGTGGGAAAAACAGATATTATCCTGTTCCTGATCTTAGCAGTAAATCCATGAAATATTTCACCATTAATATACTATACTCTATCTATTGTGCCCTTTTACCACATTGGAGATTTTTCCTTCTCTTCCTAAATTGACACAAGTTTTTATCATAAATGAGGGCTAATATTTGCCAAATGCTTCTCTACATCCACTGAGATGATCACATGATATGTTCTTTTATTTGTCAGTCCATTTTATTGATTAATTTTCTAATGTTAAACCAGCCTTATATTTCCTGAATAAACCCCATGATATAAGTCATGATATATTATTCTTTTAAAATACTGCTCGATTTGTGATATCACTAAAGGATGGCTGAGTAAGTAACTCCAAGAGGAGTAAGTAACTCCTCTTCAAGGACTCTCATACTTGCTGGTGAGAGGGCAAATTGTTAGAATCACTTTAGAGAGCAATTTAGTAACCACCATCCTAAGAAAATGTAGTTTATGGTGTAGTTTGTGACCCAGCAATACTACTCCTGAGAATTTATATTGATATTTTGATAAGCAATTGTGAATACATAAATGTGAATATCCTTGAAATGATTTTTAATAGCAAAAGACTGGAGCCACTACAATGCCCTTTGATATGTGTTTGGTAATAAATAGTGGTATTTTGAAAATAATTATACCATATAGCCAGTAAAAGTTTAGGGCATTATTTATATATACTTATATATATTTTATACTTCGTATCTCCAAAATAGAACGTTGCAGGAAAATTGAGCAAGAACCACACGGTAGTGATTTGGATATGATTTATAGAAGAAGTACCTATGTATGTTCCTGTTAGGCATAAGCATGTATGTACACTTCTATTTCTCAAGGGTTCAAATAAACAAAGAAAGAAAGAGGTGGCAGCAGTTACCTGAGGTGGAAAAACAGATAGACTGTGGGAGAGTGGAATGTGGGAGACTTTTTTTTAATCCTGTATTGTAAAACACATTAGGTAAATGTATTACCTAATCAAAGATCATTAAATTTAATCATAAATAATTCTTCTTTTTTTTTTTTTTTTTTGACTGGTAAGGGGATCACAACCCTCAGTACAGTGTGGTCAGCACCACGCTCAGCCAGTGAGCGCACCGGCCATCCCTATATAGGATCCGAACCCGCGGCCTCACCGCTACCAGTGCCGCACTCTCCTGAGTGAGCAATGGGGCCAGCCCATAAATAATTCTAATATAGAAATTGATGACTAAAAAAAGTTGGTATGATATCACTTATGACCAACAAGGTATCTGAAATTTTTTTTTTTTTTTGTCTTTTGTCTTTTTTCCGTGTCCGGCAACGGATCGCAACCCTCAGTGTTGCCCCCGTACCGGACCGGGGGCCGGCAATGGGACCGCAACCCTCGGTGTTGCTCCCACGCCTCGCTCAGCCAGTGAGCGGGAACCGGTCTGCATGTGGGATCCGAACCCTCGGGCGGGAGCGCCACCGCGCTTCCCAAGCGGCGCACTTATCCAGTGCGCCACCGGGCCGGCCCAAGGTATCTGAAATTTTATTATTACCAATTGTCTGTCTTTATATCTATCTTTCTCTTTTTAGGTAGGTTGATAGTTACACATATTTACATATATACATACCCTTGTGTACAGATAATATGCAGATAAACTATGTATATTAATATATTTGTACTTTGCATATTTAGTTATTAAAATGTTTAGTGTATATACTACGGACTACATATATTATATTATAATACAAATACCTGTTGATTACTTCAAGAACCAGATTATATTGGATCTATAGAAAATAGTCAGTCTTTCTTATTTATAATTAACTTAGACTTCCAGAAAGTTTTCACTGTGCTATATTATGTGGAGCTTTAAGTGAGTTTAAAATATCTCGACCCAAATAACAGACAGAGAGGCAC